TAAATCATGATTTTGTAATTTAGTTATTCTGTTATTTGTTTGTTTCCTATTGTTTTTAATCAATATGATCAGAAATATGCTTATCTCGTGTAATTTAGTATGGCATGTCTATGGTTTGTTGGTTGTGTTAGATAAGTGCTTCTTGATTGAAGTCTAGTGATTTTTTTTGAGGATTTCAATTATAATCTTTTCCCTCCCGTCTTTCAGACCTTATTTTATGATGGTTTATAGGCTGTTAATCATGATGTTTCCTTTAAAGGTTTTCAGATTTATTTTATAAGGAACTGTTGTGTGTGTCATGTCTGTGTTAGCTATTGTCTGTCTTTCATAATAATAATTCAAGCTTCGAATTCTAGATCATGATTTTGTAATTCAATTGTTCTGTTGTTTTTCTTTTTAATCAGTTATGGTCAGAGATATGCTTATCTTGTCTAATTTAATACTCCTTGTCAATGGCGCTTGTTGAAATTAATTTGTTGATGCTCATGTATCTTGTTTATCAATATTTTACATTTCATGATCTTGATATCTTTATATTATACGGTTTAGGGTCATGGTCATTGGGTTAACTCTCTTGCATTGAGTACTGAATATGTTCTTCGTACTGGAGCCTTTGATCACACCTGCAAGCAATATTCATCTCCAGAGGAAATGAAGAAGGTATGAATTCCTTCACAAACATTACATTTTGTTTTGAAATTGTAATTCGTTTTATGTTCATCAATGCCATCCAATTTTTGTTGTGCTTACTGTAGTTCCTTTTTTTGGGGGGGTGTTTGGGTGGGTGTTATTCACTGTTGAGGGAAAGGCTTCAGGTTTGGTTGTCTAGATCATATCTGTTCGTTTTTGTAATGCAGATAGTGTATTGTTGTATCTGGTGGTGTTTGGTTTCTTCGAGTCTTATCTTGAGGTATAGTTTTAAAAAAATGTTTTCTTTTGATCTCCATTGTTGCGTTCTTCTTTAATTGGGAACTGCAAATTCTTGACCTTTGATTGAAGAGTTGTTAAGCTGGAATAGCAGTGTTGAAGAAGTGTGTATTGTGGATTTTTAGGATGCTGATTCTTTCAGAACTCACTAAGCTTGAATAAAGTTTTCTTTTTATGCTTTTATTTTGCATGCTTGTAATTACTTTGGGTGCCACACATCCGTGTTGTGATTAAGTTACAGTTAGCTGGCTAAGAGGAAAATGTCTCCTGATATGATTATCCATCTATCTCTCTCCCTCTCTCTCTCTCTCTCCACTACTTTACCCAACTGTTTGTATTGTTCTGTGACAATAGTTTAGCTGCTATTTCTGGGAAGATTTACCTGCATAACATTTTTCCTCTTTTTCCCCTCCAAGGAACTAATTATATTTTCATTTACTGACATATAGGTAGCCTTGGAAAGGTATAACAAAATGAAAGGCAATGCCCCTGAAAGATTGGTCTCTGGATCTGATGATTTTACAATGTTTCTATGGGAACCTTTTGTCAGCAAACACCCGAAAACTCGCATGACAGGTCATCAACAGGTAAAATAATTTTTGTAATGCCATGTTCCGTTTTGAATTGCAGTCCAAGTTGTTGATCATTGTTTTTGAGGCGCAGGACTATCTTAGTTTTCCAACTTGTGTTCTTCTGTATCAGTGTGTACTTATGAGTTATGGCTTAAAATAACAATAGCAACTAATATTTCCTATGTTGCTCTCTTTCTTTTTCTTTCTTTATCGTGCTCTCTCTCTCTCTCTCTCTCTCTCTCTCTCTCTCTCTCTATATATATATATATATATATATATGCCCTTTTGCGTTGTGCAGTGTAATTGTTTGGTTGGAAGATTAATTGGTCAAGTCTTGATGAGATGGAGGAAGCAAATTTTCTTTTGGGGCAAGTACATGTTTAGCTTCTGTTTGGGTGTTCTCGTCACAGAATTTTAGGGATATTTTATTTAGAATAAAAGCTAGTTTTCTGAAAATAATTGTGGGAGCTTGTTTGGTTACTTTGGTAGCATGTTTTCACACAGTTTTCTGTTTTCCATGATTTTAGAACACAAAACTATTTTCAAAATGAGGAGCCAAAAGGCCCTTTTTTAATTTCTCACCGCTTTTCGCTGCCACTTATACTATGTCATGCCAATCAGCAGAAGGTGTTGATTCCATCTGTTATACTGAGTCTAATCTTAGCCTAATCTTTTATTTCACAGTAGATGAACTGATCTCCAATTTTCAGATGGCAGCTTGTTTTAATAATATGCATGATTTATCTTCATGGCGGTACCAGTTTTGAACTTAGAACTCTGATTAGTGCTTGCTCTTTATGGTTACCGGTTACTCATATTTACAATAAGGAGGATATATATAAATAGAGTTCTGGTGTTGTTTGTTCTTTATGTGCTTTCATGTTCATGTTTACGATAAGATGATAGTTGAAGCCAACATATGAAGTTCCAATTTTTTTCATTTAAGCGTTATAATGGATGTTTGAAAATGTCTTTTTGCCAACAGCTTGTAAACCATGTTTACTTTTCACCTGATGGGCAATGGATAGCAAGTGCCTCATTTGATAGGTCTGTCAAGTTATGGAATGGTACTACCGGAAAATTTGTTGCAGCTTTCCGGGGCCATGTTGGCCCTGTCTACCAGATCAGGTCTGAATTGGAATTATTATTTTTTGGATGATTGCTTATGTTGTGTGGCTAATTATTACATTGCATGTTACCTCACAGCTGGTCCGCAGACAGCAGGCTACTTTTAAGTGGCAGCAAAGATTCCACTCTGAAGGTAAAACATTTACTCAAAATGAACTTGTGATAAGGGATCTTGACCAAAGGAGTGAGGTTGTTAGATTTCACATTGCAAATGGGGAAAATAATTGAATTGCCATTTCTTTGCATTTTGATAGTTGTATATGTCACCAAAAGAATCATCTCAAATCTTACTAGTGGTTTAAATCTCAGTTTGTATGTAAGCTATATGAGTTTTCATCTGCATGACATCTAAGTAATTTAAGCTTGTATATCAAGCCTAATATTGTTTCATACATCAGACAAATAAAGTATTGTTTTTTTAATTTCCCTATAGTCACTTTGCCATTCTAAGGCGGATTTCTTAGCTTTGACTAGGTATTTTGTCGTTATGTACATGGTCATGACGTAAAGATTATTGGCAACCTTGATCTTTATTTTCAATTCCCCGATTATTGAATTTTTCATCAAAATATGAACTCCCAGCTTTTGGGAAACTAAATTCAGATTCCTTTTTGTTTTTTCTTTCGTTATATTGTGTACTTTGGTTGGAGTACTATGCGCTTTTGCTAATGGTAGAATTTCTCGTGGTTACATCCCTGACCTGTGAATGAAATTTATTTGATCATCTAGGTTTGGGATATCAGGACACGGAAATTAAAACAAGACCTTCCAGGACATGCAGATGAGGTATGTTTTCCCTTCACCTCAAAGGCAGTTGATCCATTGTTTTACATTTATTGAAGAATGCTTGGGGGAGAATTGTGACGTAGACATATAAGAAGATACCAAAACAGATACCAGTTACTACAGGGAGATTTCAACTAAATCAATTGACGTATTCCTCACATAAAGCAAATGCTAAAGGACTTACGCAAGTCTTCTATTTCTACTCAAATGCTTTTTAGAAATTGCATGAATTAGATTACCCCGTGCATACCTGAAAGGCCTGCTCTTGTAAACCAGTCTTGCTTTACCTGTCTTGAATATTCACAAAACTCGATAGAAGTAGACACAAGTTCGGCTACTTTGAGGGAACCTAAGTCCTCCAGATTTCTGTCTGATGACCCTTATTATTCATTCAACTTCTTATGTAAGGGCATAACTGTTAATTCCAAAAATTTAGGAAGACAAACAAAATAGATATCCATATCCAAACTTTAGACTATTAGTCTATTACTAAATCAATAGACCTTCACTCTAGGCAACGGTTGTACAATTTTTGGATTCTTCTATTTCTAGTTTTCTTTTAAATTTTCTTGGATATTGCATGAAATAAACTACCCCATGCACGAGTGACAAGCTTTACACACGTAGTGATTGTGCCCCCTTTGTATTGGCATATTGTAACCTATTTTTGAAATGTGAATTGTTTTTGAAAGGTTTATGCTGTTGATTGGAGTCCAGATGGTGAGAAGGTAGTTTCTGGTGGCAAGGATAGAGTTTTGAAGTTATGGATGGGGTAGACTAATCGTGGTAGGCCAAAGTATGGGCAACTACATAATGGAAATGTTACATGATGGTGATAATTGAGCATTGAAGTGTTTGGTATGATATACATACAAGTATACTGCACGACTAAAGGGATATGAACAAGAATTGGGAATTCAAGTATCGGTCACAAGGGTGGTTGAAAGAAAAAGCTCCTGAATCAGCATAAAAGTTTTTTATCCATTGGGGTGTAAGCTTTTCTGCGAGCTGTCTGAGGTGGAATAGTGAGGCAGCCAATTTACGAGTGTGGGTTCCTTTTTCTTATTTAGAGTCACGCCGTAAAGTTTTGTTTTGTTCTTTTTTACTTTTATTCATTTTCCTAGTCAAATATCTTATGTCAATTTTTAGTTGGTAATCAGGAAATGCATCCTTGCAACAGATTTCCTCATTTCTTAGCTAAAATAATCCGATTGATGATTGTCATGCCGAATGTGAGGCTGGCTTTTGTTGAA